TTGATGTTGATGTATAAGATGCTCGGAATACTGGTACGGTCCATATCTAGCGAAACCACAGTATGTGATTTGTGTGGTTATCGTTCCAGCCCACGCATTCATGATTTCCCAATATATTCTGCGTATTACTAAAATATTAATCTATGGTCTATTTCATTAAAATAATAATTTTACTCTTTTAATATCGTTGTGTTCAGTGCTTCTTACATCCGCCTATTTTTGAAGCCTTCCGCCTGAGTCATTATATTATTCAGTGAGCTTGTCTCCTTATGTTAAACGCAGGAGGAAATCCTATTTCCGTTTTTAATATCCGATTTATGCCGATCTACAATATATTATGTTAAATATGCACCTGTGGAATTGGTTTAATTGTTACATAGTAACTTGCTTACTACACACATAACTTATGGTCACACGAAAGCCTCCTACGCTATTTTTTATATAAACAATTATGCCACATTGCCACTTGTCTGCACGTGCTAGAAGTCCCTTGCATATACAATGTTTATAATATAGACATAGCGCTATCGTGTTTTACGCAGAACACACAATAATTTTATTCCAGCATGACCCACTTATCGACATTATTTTACATTATGTTATTATTTACTAAACAAGGTAGTATCAGTATGTTATTATTATTTAGAGTAAGGTAGTATATAATATCACATTACCCCTTATCTATAATATCTATACTAAGGTAGGTACGACTACCTATCGTATTTTTTTTAAACCAAAATACAAAACATCGATCAACTGCAATGGGTCATAATAATGTAATTTCATTGCTTTTCATATAAATCCAATAAACAAATTTAAACAAAATATATTTATAAATCAATTATTTCCCCTTTTGATAATAGGTAGGTACTTACAATCAGACATAAAAGTCATAATAACCATTAAATTACTTTCAGAAGTATGGCCGCAGTATTGTAAAGAATTCGAATAAATGTATTCAAATAACAGTATTTTTTTTATTTGAATACTATTTTAAATACTTTTTGAAAAAAAATATTCTAATACGTATATTATGCTGAACAGTTTTTTTGTTTTCTTTTTATTCATTGAAAAATACGTTTTTGAACTCGAAAAATAGTTTCTGCCACATTATAAGTTATAAACAATAGTTTTTCTCATTGAATGAAATATGATTGACCTACGTTTATTTCCAACCATTCCAAAACTGACAAATATTAGAGGAGAAAAAATATATTCTAATAGTATTCGAATACTTTTACGAGCATAATTCGAATATACGCTTTAATACAAATTTATTCGAATACTTACTCCGAATGCAAAATACAAGTATTATTTAAGTACACGACAGAGTATGAGTATATAATATTATATTTTGCTGTCCTTAATAGTCTCATATAGTCATATGTTACATACTTACTATGAGTTCTAACCTCTAGGTATCATAAAACCCAAGTAGTTATTACATTTTGTTTTTTCATCAACAAGCAAATAAGCAATTATAATTCTAACGCAATCGATGGTCTCGTACTATTGTGTAGATGTGTTATGACTTATGATTTTATGAACGTTTATTTTTCTCGGAATGTAAAACTAACGAATGTCGCAATACCCAAAACACACACCTTATTACCTTAAGAGGATGTCAGCTCACTATTTGTTTTCTCTCTCTGGCACAGGCGCAGCATAGACAAAACGCATCAACGTAGAATCAATTTTTCTGTGTTTTTAAGCAATCTTAGAGTAAAATCACCAATAACAAAAAAGATAGAGAATAATATTTTTGAGGGAATATCATTTCGATTTTTCTAAATATTGTCTCAAAACAATTTAAACATAATTTAAATGTACAACATTTTTTTGTTTATTTTGAAAGTCGAACACAAAGTCAATTGACAATAAAATATAAAATTGATGTCATTCCCTCAAAAATATTATTCTATATCTTTTTTTGTAATGGGTGATTTTACTCTAAGATTTCTCAAAAACATAGAAAAATTGATTCTACGTTGATGCGTTTTGTCTATGCTGCGCGTGGGCCAGAAAGAAAAAAGAAATAGTGCGATGCCATCCTCTTAAGCTAAATTATAATATTCTATCTTATTTTCATCCTGTTTTTTACTGTATTGCACAGACTAATTTACAAATTATAGAAAAATTATAATTAAAATATTATTTGTACTTGATTAAAAACATATAGGTAGGTACCTAGATAATGAACGTTAAAAAAATTATCTGTAGTTACTTACATAATATTATTATGTTATGTTGGTATTGGTAAATTTGTTACAATCGTAATAAGTTTGGGTTTATGCGAACAAGAAATTTAAGGTAACTTTTTATCAGGGCTCGTAATCGTGTAATCGATTTGAAGGTTGCATCCGAATAGATTCCTGATATTCTCCTCTTGGACGCATTAAATATCAATATGATGATTCATTGATACAAATCGTTAAATAAAATCATTTAACAATTCAAAAGTAATACAATATGATATGTTTGCAGGTAAACATGATATTTAAAATGTATATCAAAATATAAATATAAATCGTTGTATAATTTGTATAGGTATACAAATCGATTTTAAATTAAAAAAAATTTAATTAAAAGTTCAAATTCAACAATACTCAATAAGTTTAAAAGTACATTATAATGTTTATCACTAGGTAATAAGTTATTTGATGAAATGTAAACGAAATACAAAATTATTATGGAAACCTAGCTAAACAAAATCGAAAATAATGTAAATTAATATTGATTAATAAAACCATAAAAATATATACCTATATTATATAGGATTATAAAATCAATATTCAATATTGTGCATAGTAATTTAAAAATTATAAATTTTTAATATCAATATGTTGTTTTTAAATTTTAAATTAAAAAAAAATAATATCTATGAGAAGAATTTATTTTTATTTCGATTTCAAGCCATATATGCTTTTATTATAGGTTTTATTACTCGTGATATTAAATTTTTATGAGCGTTTGAAATTCAAATTTTTACAACATTGGATTTTCACTCGATTACTCATGTAGCGATTTCCTTATTTTGTTGTAATTCAAAAACGAATAACTGTAGATACACGAAAATTTCACTGAGTGTTTAAATTAGCATTTTCTATACACCATACAATTTAGAATATTTTGACTCATTTTGAGCTATTTACTGACATTTAACGCTTTCAATTTTTTTTAGTTTTTTTTTCAATAAATATCAAATATCAATAAAGTTTTATCTGTTGAGTGTAAAAATTTAATACAAGGCTCCTGATATATTGTTACAATATCAGTTGATAAAATAAAATATTGAAAATACATAGGCACAGTTTTTTTTTATAAGCATTTAAAGATCGAATTTTGACAAAATTTATCAAATTTAAAATTGAATAATTATTTTTTAGTTAAGAATTTATAAAATGTACAACTTTTATATCCAAGGATTGAAAATTTAAAACAAGATTCCACGTAAGTAGTTAATTCTGTTACCAAAAAACCTAAAAAATACATAAGCAAATTTTATTTTTATAGTCATTTTAAGTTCAAATTTGGACGAAATTACATAATAAAAAACCTATCATGAAAATTGAAGATGCATGACACATGAATTAACTGGACTAATTTGAATTGACTGATGCTAAAAAAAGTACTTTGGAATTTCTAAACATTTTTTGTAAGATAATTAAAGTTGTTATGATAAGATATTTTTTAACGACTAAAAATGTAACATCAGTATTTATAGTGATTATGTATTCTCAATGGTTGGGTTCCCTTGGTAGGTAAAATTCCTGGTACCTAGAAGTAATAAGCACTAATTAATGGTTAATAGTAGTATATAAAATGTGTATAATGTAATATTTTAACAAAAACTTAAAACTATATATAATGACTTAAGACATTGTATTTTTTTTTAATCTGTAAAAATATATATTAATGAAATATGTTAGGATCCTATTAATTGACAATTTATTGAGTGCCAATTTTGTTTTCAAGGATAATTGTAAAAAACTAAAAAAAACTAAAATGTATGCAACAGTTTGACTAGTTAAGTCACATTACTTACTTATTATTCAAATTAAGATTAGATTGTAAATTTCTTATAAAAAAAAAAGTCACATTAAACCAAGAACTTTCTTAGAATCAATAACTATTTTCTCTTAAATTTTAACGTATTCAATGTTTTGAAAAATTAAGATAATAAGTCACATTTGTAAATGTAATCCTTACTGCATGACAATACTCTCCAAGGAGTCAATGTAGTCAACAGCAAGGTGCACACAAATGAATAATCACATAAATATATTTGTTAAAGGCTATTTTAAAAAATAGAAGATTGTTTCAGTTTTGACTGCTACATTTTTAGTAAACAATAACAGTTTAAATATCTAAGTTAAGATTGTATAAAAAAAGTTTTTAAACGGCTTATAATCAATAAAAAAAGTACGGTAAAAGAAAACAAACCAACAATTATTTATCGAATAATGCATAATGTTTGCTTAATAGTTAACTCATATATAATACATATCATATTAACTAAGTTAAAAAGTTTATTGGTTTCTATTTAACTGCATGATTAATTGTGTTGAAATAAATTGTAATAATCCATTTTTAAATTGATAATTACTAATAAAAATATTGTTTTTAATGAATCTAAACTCTTTAATGAGTCATTCTGTTAATAATTATTAATATAGTGATGAATTAGAAAAACTTTAAATTTGTAATAAATCATTATTTTTTTAGAATTGTTGTTTATGTTATTAATTAGCTAAAATATAAAAAATTAAATTTAAAAGTCTACCTATCATTAAAAAAGAGTCAAAACATTTCAAAACATTATTTCTAAATGATGCCTGGGTGTAATTCATTGTGACAAAATTTATAGACACAGAAATAAAAGTACAAATAATTTAAAATGTCCATTATTTGTACACACAACATTTTTACCGTTGACATATATTTTACAGTTTGATTAAATACAATAATAAATAAATAAATTATTTAAAAGAATTTGATATTCAATATCCCACTTTCCCTAATTTTGTATCTGTTTTTGGATCAGAAGTAACTTCTTGCATAGCTACTATACATTCGTTAATACATGTCTGAAGATCGCGTAACCTATGCAACTGTGCCAACCTCAAGACCTTCATTGCGTGTAGAACAGCTGAATCTTTGGATTCAATTTTATGACCTTTTACTTTTTCTAAAGGAAAAGCTTCCCCCTGTAAAAATAAATATATAAAGTATATATAATATATAGCTACATAATAAATTGATATATTTTAGGTACCTTAGGTAATATCGATGATGGATTATTAATGGCTTCTTCATTGAGCCTTTTAATGATAAATTTATGAATAGCTTCCAATGTAATTTTGTGATCTGGATGCTTGGAAATATTTAGTAAGTCCGCAAGTTTCTCAATACCTTCCTTGAAATCACTACTGTTTACTAAAAAATATTTTGATATGATATATTTGTAAAATATAAAATAGTACTTAAATAAAACGGTTACCATCAAGATTATCAATTGGGTTATCAGATGGTATAATCATTGGAACATCAGTAGATACTTCAAGTGTTTTTTTTGTTTCAGAATCAAATTTCTTTTCTAAAACAGTTACAAACCAAAATAATTAATTTTTCATTAGAATAAAAGATTATTATAAATGATTATAAATATTAAGTTTGTATTCACTTTGTTTATTGTATGTTAGTCGAATCGCCAAGCCTAATAACCATTCCAACTGATCCATAGCTTCGGTAGATTTAATTGGACTAGAACATGACACACAATAGTTTTTGAATGCTGCGTCCCAAGAAGGAGAATCAACATTCTGTAACTCTGTTCGTTTCTCTGGTACATAAGTATGTAATATGTTTTCCTCGAGCCACAAAATCAACATCCGAAAACTTTTTTGATCTAAATTGAATAAGTAATAAATACAGTCAGAATAAGTTACTTCTAATATTTTACAGATTCAAAATTTGTTATTAGCCTATAATTATCTGCTTCATTTAAATTATTTATTTTAGTTTTTTTCAGGCATATAATGTCATAATTTAAGTCACTTAATTATACAATAGTCTAATTATTATTATTTTATTTTAAATTCATATTCTAAACTTTAGAGTCGAAAGCAATATTTGTCTAGATTTTGTAAGAATGAATATTGAATAAATAGTGTAGATTTTATCAGCATTCTATAAAAAGTCTGTTCCACAAAAGAACATGCAGATTCAGTGCATGTAGAATTAAGTTTGTCAACCGACTAGAGGCCAAATGTCATCAAAATGTTATTTCATAAAATAAGAATTTTGATAAAAAAAAAATGGGTCAACATACAATAATATTTAACCATTCTAAAAATAACACCAAAATCTAAAAAATTTTAAAATATGTTCAAATAAAATGTTTAATTTTAGTTCTCCGAGTTATAAATTAGTAATTTACAAATTTAAGCTTACTCTGCTATTTCTTAAGCATTTTACAAAAAAAATATGCAAATGCTATAAAATACCAATCTTGGTGGCTGGTAATAATACGTTAAAATGAATTCTGGTGCTAGTACCAGACGCAATAAGGTTTATGGGACGTGGGGGGGAGGGGCATGACCCTTATTCAGATTAACTTCCCCATCACTAAGCTACTGTTAATATTGTATTGTATATTGAAATATGCACTAATAAAAATTCAGGTAATATTCACATAGAGGATTACAGTTAAAAGAAGACTTTTAACACTAATTCAACAACCAGAATAAATTATAATTTATTTTATGCATTGTTGTCACTTACTTTTGAATTTAAATAAGACACAATTTTAACTTGGACGTATTTTTAACATCTTTATTTTTTGTTTCAAGTTTAAGAACATTAATTTGGTATGGTGTTCTATGAAGTATAAAAGAAATTACTATACTATGTATCTAACGAGTAACGAGGAACAATAAATTCATGTAATTTATCACAAAACGTTTATACCACACCTATAGCCTCTAATAAAAATAATAACTAATGTATTATCAGAATAAAAATAAATAACACAATTATTAAGAATTAATATATTATAGTTTACCATTTGCATCAAACACTGCAGCCAACGGATAACCTACGGCTTTCACTTTGTTGATAGACATTCCAAATCAGGGTTCAGCAAATTTAACGCTGTAAGATTCTAATCACAATACAAACTTTAAGGTTTGAAAAGTCTGTGAATTGTCTAAGTCAACCATAAATAGATCAAACTTCACTCGTAGTAGCTAAGTAGTAACAAAGTATTAGCCATGGTCGAAATATGTGAAGTGATAATATTTTATCATGATTAAAATGTACAAACAATTATTATCATTTATCAGAAACATAACAACTCCGTCGTGGAGGCTAATAACTTTTTGAACACACTAACAGAGGGAATATTACCAATACAATTAAAGTAATTTACATTTGATTTTATCTTGAAAACGAAGAAGGTATTATTAACGACTTTATCTTTACCTATCTATAGGTACCTAATATGTTATATTATATAGTATATGCATCACAATATTATGTGGTTTTCGTAATGTAGGTATTAGGTATACCTAATGTAGGTATACCTATCGTGTTGATTATTTTCAATTAAATATGTGTATATGGACCGTCGGACAGACCAGATTGGACAGTTAAGAATTTGTTTCCTATCAAAATGTGTTTATAAATTGGTTTTCAGTATCATATTTACACATTTTAGATTTGAAGATTGGTACAACAGTTTATTTTTAAACTAACATTAAGAAAAACATAAAATCAAATTACTAATAAACATATCTATTTGTTACCTAATTAAAAAATAAGTAAAATCCTAGTTATTGAAGACAGCATGATAGTTATTGAACACTTTAAACCCAGTATATGAACACCTAAAAGTATTTATTAAGGCAATTTCTATTTAATAAAATTCGTGGGTAAACCAGGAAAACCAAGTGTGAATATTATTGCATTATTTAAAATCAAGATTAAGTTAATACATTTTAATAAAATTTATCAAATTAAAAATTAATTATTTTGTACCTAGTTAGTACATTGGTGTAGTGTGTACACCACTTTTTTCAAAATATTTTTTTCACAAGTTTGGTTATACGTTTAAGTAGCAGTGGCGTATCTACGGGGGGATTGGGGGTCATACCCCCCCCCCCTCGGAAGGTTATTTTTATTTTTTTAATTAAAAAAATATTTTGATAGTTTTATGAAGATCGAACAGCTTACCTAAAACCTAACCAATGAACGAAAATGAATGGTATTAAATTCAATAATATCATAAAACCAGTGGCGTCATTTCGTTTTTCAATATATGGGGCCAAAGGTTTTTACCAACCCGAATGGGTAAAAATAAACCGCTTGCTTCTCTCTCACCCACATACATTTTTTTAGGTACCCTTTTTATTAACTAGGTAAAGTCATTTTTTAATATAAGGTAGCAGATATTTTCTATGGCAATATTTATATTGATAAATAAAAATATTAGTAATTTATTAGGATAATATCTTCTTTTTTTTTATTTTTGAAAATAGGTATATCAGCTGTATTATCTAGAAATCAATTTTACCTAATTCATCACTTATAGTCCATAATCTATTACTCTTATATAGGTATACCGTATACGATATATTAACTAATTAAGGTACTTAACTAAAATATTAACACAATACCCAGAATAGTTGAATTTATGATAAAACAATGTTCTATGTCATAGAATCTATGATAATATATTAGATAAATATTTTATCAACCAATAAAACATCAAAACATATTTACCTAAGGAACACTACGACGGGTCAGGTAATTTTTAAAACAAATTTTACACTTATACTGTTGGTTATAATGTCCTTAAATCCTTAAATACCACTTGATAAGGTACTCAATGTAATTGCATTGTCGTCAAGGAAATTGGACTTTGTTTTATAGTTAATAAACAAACATTTTTACACATTACGACATGTGTATATGTCTATTAAAATGTTTATATCCCCTCCGTGAAAAAATCCTAGATACGCTACTGTCAAGTAGCGTCTTTTTTTTTGGTCAGATTTCCCCGTTTCACCCTATATATACAGTGTTAAGGGTCTGGGGGTCTGGCCATCTGGGAATTCTTTACAATTTATGCACCCCAAAAATTTATATCTAGTTGCACCTATATATGCACGCATTTATAACGGTAAATGGTGGATTGGTGTGTGACTTTCTTATATGCCGCCAGAGAAAAGGAAAGGAAAAAAGTCTTTGCCGCTGAAGTATAATCTAGTTCTCAGGCTCACGATATCTACCTAACCTAACCTTTTGATAAAGTCGCCTACCCCTCTCTGGTCAGCATATCCAAATCATCCCTTTAATCAATGCATGAGCACCAGCCATCTTAGTAACAACCTCCCAATACGGCAATACCGAATCGTTCGAATCCTACAAGCGACCACTGGACTCCTTACGACGAGCAATAATCAGTGTGTTCATTATTTCGATTCGTGTATTTTGAAGTATTACTTTGTGTCACCTAAAACTATTACATCATAGCCCAAAGACAGCTGATATACAGGTAAGTCATTTATTATAATAGGTATACTATTTTGATTGCATATAATATATATATTAATATATTAAACTATACGAGTATTTTTCATATAAATTATATTGTACAGTGTATTTATTGTGATTTGATCGAATTCTCGAATACGCACAATCTCGAGAGCCCTCCGAATACCTGGATGAAGGTAATAGTGTGATTTTAATATTTGAATCTGATATTATTCTTGAAAATTTGAAAATGTAATACAAGATTCCTCATGAGATTATCTACCTTTATCAATAAAAAATATCTACATGCAAACTAAATTAAATTTTTATGAGCGTTTGAAGTCCATATTTTTACAATATATTATATTCACTCGATTTCTCATGTAGCGGTTTTGTTATTTTGTTGTTATTCAAAAACGAATAATTGTAGATACATGACATTCTACTGAATATTTATATTTTCATTTTGTACCTATACACCATAAAATTTTGAAAATATTTTGACTCTTTTGGAGCTGTTTACAGGCATTGTCAATTGTCAATTTTTTAGGTTTTTTTTTCTATAAATATCAATAAAGTAGGTTACAAGTGGGTCACTGTATAATGGATGATATTAAATTTTAATTCAACGATATAATATCATTGTATAAGAAAAACGATTCTGAGAGGAGACGGTATGTCAGTCTAGGTATAAGACATATTATATACTTATCTATGGTATTAAACAAAAAAATGATCTATAATAGGTACCTATAATAAATTCCAAATTAATCATATCACAATATCCATTGACCATTAGGTACTTCAACAAAAACCGTGATACAATCAATTATCATAGATATATACCTAGTATTACATTTTAGAAGTTTCAAGTACTCGCGAATAACATTATTCTATCACAACAAAATGACTAAAATAGTTATTCTAGGTTTTTAATTATGTAGTTTCGTCCAAATTTGAATTTAAAATGTCTGTAAAAAATAACTGTGTTCATTTATTTTTTAGATTTTTTGGTTACAGTAAGAACTATTTATGAGAAACTTTGTTTTAAATTTGCAATCCTTAGCTATAAAAAACTGAAAATTTTATAATTTATTAATTACAATGACTGATCATTTTCGAGATTTTGATCATATTTGTCAAAATTCGATCTTTAAATGCTTATAAAAAAAAACTGTGCCTATGTATTTTCAATATTTTTCAACTGATATTGTAACAATATATCAGGAGCCTTGTATTAAATTTTTACACTCAACTAATAAAACTTTATTGATATTTATTGAAAAAAAACTAAAAAAAATTGAAAGCGGTAAATGTCCGTAAATAGCTCAAAATTAGTCAAAATATTTTAAATTGTATGGTGTATAGAAAATGCTAATTTAAACATTCAATGAAATTGTCATGTATCTACAGTTGTTCGTTTTTGAATTGCAACAAAATAAGGAAATCGCTACATGAGTAATCGAGTGAAAATCCAATGTTGTAAAAATTTGAATTTCAAACGCTCATAAAAATTTAATTTGACTGTCCGGTAGGGATTTTTTTATTGATAAAGGTAAATAATCTTATAAGGAATCTTGTGTTTCATTTTCAAATCTTAGATTTAAAAAGAAAAATTTTTACGAATTCTTAACTCAAAATAATTTGCTAATTTTCGTGATTTTTCCATATTTTGTCAATTTTTGAACTTTAAATGCTTATAAAAAAAAATTGTGACTAAGGATTTTTAATATTTTTCATCTGCCTTTGAAACAATATATTAGGAGCCTTTTATTAAATTTTCAAGCTTTCGCAACCAACAAATAAAATTTTATTGATATTTTTAGAAAAAAAACTAAAAAAAAATGGAAAATTAAAATGTCCCTAAACAGTTCAAAATAAATCAAAATATTTTGAAAATGTTATCGTGTATAGAAAATGCAAATATAAACAACCAGTGAAAATTTCATGTATATACGTTCATTTGTTTTAGAGTTACACCAATAACCAAAATCGATTTTTTGGAAAACCAATTTTGCGTAAAAATTCCCGTTTTTCCTTAATTTGTATGTTGTTTTTTCCGGCGCTTGTGAAAACTACTGGAAAATTTATACTTTCGACCCCCCAAAGTACCAACTAGATTCACTTTCCTATCAGAAAAGCTACTGTTGAAGAAAATCCATGCACTTTTACTGTTCTAAAACGTGATGACAGACACAAAAATTAAAAAAAATTAAAAAATTAAAAAAAAAAAAGGTGGGCAAGTGGGTGTCGCTCTGCTGTACAGTAGGTTACAAGTGGGTCACTGTATAATGGATGATATTAAATTTGAATTCAACGATATAATATCATTGTATAAGAAAAACGATTCTGAGCGCAGACGGTATGTCAGTCTATGTATAAGACATATTATATACATATCTATGGTATTAAACAAAAAATTGACCTATAATGGGTACCTATAATAAATTCCAAATTAATCATATCAAAATATCCATTAGGTACTTATAACGCGTTATACATCAACAAAAACCGTGATACTATCATAGATATATAAAAGTACACTTTAGAAGTTTCAAGTATCCACGAATAATATTATTCAATCACAACA